GATTGGAGCATAGTAATGTAACTTCCTGAAAAAAGTTCAGACAGTAAGCCCATTTCATAAATGTGTTGTCTTGTGTGCCATGTGGTAGTTATACAGAGAATTTAAGGATCTCTCAGAGCTGAACTATGATGAGGTCACCAAGCTGCTAAGTTTAAGTTCCTAGAAAGATACGGTTGCTCTCTCTTGTGGCCATTTCTTAAAATTGCAGCCTACGTAAAATAAACAACTGCTGCCCCTAAAATAGGTTATAATGATTTTTAAATTATAATTTAATAATTTCTGTGTTTTCTAATTCTAAACCTTACATGTGTGTTTTATACATTTACATTCAAAGAAAGGTCTTTTAAATGACACAAAACCCATCATAATGCATATAAAACCTAAATTACTCTTCATGCTCTGATCGTTTTTCAGCAATATGAAAACTGGAGGCCCAACCAGCCCGACAGCTTCTTTTCTTCTGGCGAGGATTGTGTAGTGATGATATGGCATGAAGACGGCCAGTGGAATGATGTTCCCTGCAACTATCACCTCACCTTCACCTGCAAGAAGGGCACAGGTAAAAAGACTGCTGCATTAGCACAAATAATCTCTCATCTCTTACTTAACTGAATACATAAATTTAGAAAGGAGAATATGCAAATCGGATGGAGTCTTCTGTTACCATAAAGTCCTCACTTTAATGTTATTGTCACTTCTGATTCTCAGTGGCCTGTAGCCAGCCGCCTCTGGTGGAGAATGCACGTACCTTTGGTAAGAAGCGTGAGAGGTATGAAATCAACTCGCTGGTGAGGTACCAGTGCCAGAGAGGCTTTATTCAAAGGCACGTCCCAACTATCCGTTGTCGTGGGGATGGACGATGGGATAGCCCTAAAATCTCCTGCATGAATCGTAAGTAAAGCAAGTATTACTCTCAATAGACAGACATTGTTCTCCCAGTGTGTAGGACTTTGACAAACACTATCATTGTTTTATAGCTAACATATGATTTCTCTCTGACAGCATCAAGCTATCAGAGGACCTTTGTCAGAAGACATCAACACAATGGTCTCTACAGCATCAACAACTTCAAGAGATGGCCGAATGAGGCCTTCCGCTTTCACCATCAGCGCTACCGGGGAAAGAGAGACAGGACTGAACATAAGCGGAAGAGACAGTGATTGCCATGTTACATGGCGCAGCTTTGTGTAAAGATGAAAAGGATTCTCAAAAAAAAAGCACAAGAGAAAACTCTCAAAGAAACCAAGAGAATAACCTGCAGTTTTCTTGCATTTTGGATGACGATGGAATCTTATGAAGTGCCTTTTAAAGAGATGTTGACGCATGACTTTTCTTATCAAGGGGGACTGTTTTATAACGATGTCAATGTAGATAGAATACTTTCAGCGGGCTACTGGAAAAGCAAAAAGTACATTCATCATTATTTTTTAAACTGCAGATGTTTTTTTCTTTGTCCTTAGCGTTTCAAATCATACAGTCATGGCTGTTGTCTATTACTTTTGTACACCAACTGTGCTATTTAAAATCACCGTAAGTGTTCCTTATTCATAGAAAAAAAAGTGAAATTTTAGCTCATCATGTTATCGTGCTGTTTTAAGCTGGACTTCATTTTAATGATCATGCATGCATATGCATACATATATTGAAGTCCTCAAATTGTTAACTATGATTATTCTATGTCAAGAGATCCAAGTTTGGCTTCTCAGAACACAAATAGAGGCATCAGTGGCAATGACTGATCATGCAAAGGAATAATTGTTTACATTAGTAGAATATTAGTAGTAGTTATAGTTGTTTTTCAGATTCCAGATTAATACACCCACACAATTGCTCAGTTAACTGCTGGAGACCTTCTTTGTGGTGACAGCTTTCAAAGTCCTAAATAACCACCTTTCATTAGCTCCAGCCTTTTCTGGATGCCGTTGATGTCATGTCAAAATAAAATTTTAAATTTTAAATTTTAATTGAGAGAACATTTAAAAACTTACTGACATTTCTTTTGTATGATATTTCGCAATTTTATATGAGAGAATGCTCTTTAAGTACTTACCAACAAAGCCTTTATCCACTGATGGAAATTGATGCCCATCAATTATTTTAAAATGAAAGAAGGGATGTGTGGCTCAAGTAGCCTGTATTTTCTGCTTGTGTGTTCAGTGATAATACACTTATATTAATTACAATAATTTCCAATTAGTTGTTGCAGCATGTTTACAATAACTGTTATGCTGTTCATAATTACACACCAAAGAGTCTTGCTTTCATCTGTTGCAGTTGTGATGTAGCTTGTGATGGTTTTATACTTTTCTTCTGCACACTTAACTTTTCTGTTACCGTGGTCACTTGGAATCAGCCATTGAGAGAATGTATTTTGTGAAACACTCAAAAAGACTTGAACGTAACTGGCTGTTTAGGCAGAGATGCATATAATTTATTTTCAAGCTGCTCTTGATCTCTTTACTTGTTTTATACTGACAGGTAAAATATGATGCTGTCATCTGACCCAGCAGTGCTCTTCATATATTATTATTGCATGTTAAACAGGAGACAAGCCACAATCACAGACTGTCTAAATTGTTTGCATTAAAGATGGAAAATTATGGTACGATGGATTTATATGTCTTTTTACATCTTTAATGCAGGCAGTGCACCAAATAATACGGGGGGCCCAATCGGCTGCAATAATGTTGTTTTGTAACATTAACAAAATATTTGTGGATGGCTACATGTGTCACCTCCATTTGTTTTTATGGGAAAAATATGTTTGTTTTATCTGCCTGTGAATGTTTGTGTGTGCACATATGTTTCAGCCTTAATGTGCATATAATATCATTTTATATTTATAACAGTTTGTTTTTTATTTTACAATGTGAATGTTTGTAATTTTTTTAATGAGATCAAACTGTTTTTTCTCCTGCTTTAAATCATCAAAGAAATAAAATATATGGATATTATATACTAATTATATACATTTAATTTGGACTTTTTACAGAACAGGAAAGGCACTGAGAACACTGTTGTGTTTGAGTGAGTTGAGTGTTTGTGCATGTTCTCTTTGTGTTTGTGTAGGTTTTCTCCAGATGCTGTTTTCAAAGACAGTTTTCAAAGACATGCAGGTTTGGTGGAACTGAGAGTCTAAATTGCCCATAGTTTGTCTTTCTGTACTGAAGTACTTTGATGAAGTAGCAAACCTTTTAACAGTATTTCTTTCTTGCATGCTTGGAACGTGTCCCTGTTGTTGATCCTCTTGTACTGAGGTCAATTTTGTTTGGAGTAAGTAGTGTGGTGGTTTCACCAGCAGGCAGTGCTATTAGCCATGAACCATGGAATAGGGGTAGATATTTAATTTCCTTCTGTAAAACACCTACACAGGGGAACTAAACATAATGTGTTGAATTTACACTGAATTCTGTAAATCACAGTCACTCTCAGTAGAACATTATACCAAAGTCCCATTTTCAAAGTATTGCAGTGTCTCGCACATACATCTGACACATCTGAAAAACCTATCAGGCATGCTCTTCGTAGACAGACGGTAAATTTATGAGGAGCTGATAGGTAGTGGCAATGTGAATTATAGCAAACATATGGAGTAAGTACTGGATTAGGGAAAAGTGATGCATATGCTGAAATGGCTGATGCTGCAGAACTGTGGTCCTATACAAGTGCAGCCTACCACGCTACAGTTTTTTTAGTCCATAGCATGGCTGTATGTTGCTCCTCTTGAATGCCAAATACTTCTTATGCCTACATGGCAGTGCATTAAGGAAACAGATGAATTCCCTTGGTGTAAAAACAGATGCTTTTTGAGTACCTTACAATTCACCACTATTCCCAGAGTGCCTCCATATACAGCAGTGATTTGAAGTTCACATTGACACTGCCTAATAGCAAAAAGCACCCTTACCAGGGTAATAACATCAAGTTGGTCGATGTAATCTTTGTGTAATTTGGGGCTACTGTGGTTTTCACTGTGACTGCCCACTCTGTCATTAGAGGAGACTTGGCTCGTGATTAAAGGCTGCTCCTGGGTGCCCCAGCAAGAGTAAAACCTACATTCTTGCCTCATGAAATGCAGATGTCTCATGGGTGATCAGTGGAAAAAACATAGACCTCTCAGCCCAGGTCTCTCTGGGATTTAACAAGCTTTCTAGGATTGTTTTGGAAAGAAAATGCACCCTGGCTCTTCCTGTTAGCTTCTTGGGGCCTCAGACTCTGTCTAGTCTGATGCCAAGTATCTATCATTCACTCATTACCCTTCTATTTCCCTGTCAAGTTACTTAATCAGGATATGGTTAAGTGACAAGCATTTGGAATATAGTTTAATCCGGCTTGCTGAAAGGCAGCACAATATTTGATTGGTTGAAACCACAGTAGCAAACCAAATTAAATGTTCAGCATCATTCCTGCAACATCCAGGCAACAACTACAGCAACTGCTTATCGATTTTACTGTCTGCTACCAGCAGAAACACACCCAGAAACAGAAAGAATAGAAGACTAGCTCACTTTGGTTCACAAGTGTGTAGAACTTTAGACTTTATTTGAGAATTCAACATCATTATTATAATTTTCTATGCGAAAAAAAGTACGAAAAGTTCTACACAATCTCTCTATTTCTTCTTGGGCTAATGGACTTTTCACCATCACACACATTTGCAAATGTCTGGCATTTCACTGCTGTATTAACCTAAATCTGACCCCATTCCCATGCATTCCCACAAGCACTCTTTAAGACTGCGGTACTGTTCCCTTTGTCTAGTGGTGGGCTGGCAGCCTGGCACTGAATAAAAAAATGCCAAAGAATAAATAAATGAAAGAAGAGTCTAATCTTAAATCCTCTCAATGACATGGGTTCATGCCAGACAGGCCCCTAATTTGGCGGCTTAAACAATACTGTTTAAATCTTTGCAAAAACCTGTGTATCTCCACATAATACATGTGGATTGGTTCCAGTGGTAACAAAAGTGTTCGTTGTTAAAAAAGGGACTCTTTCCAAAATGTATTTAAAACTTGTATTCTTTATTTCAAACTGCTTTGTTGAAAAAGGTACATGGCAATAAGATACAAAAATACCTGTGTCAGTGTGTACAAATGCACATGCAGGACAGACATTTTTAAGTTTTGCTTGAACAAACAATGCCATATTACCACATATAACTTGTAGTAAGTACCATATGTCAGTGTCCAGGGTTAGAACAAGTAGGAAGGGATAATGTAACAAAAAGCAAAACACAAAATATCAAATTAATTTTGTAATTGAATCCTAAAAAGGGGGCTATCTCTGGTTGTGGCGCACATTTAGATTACCAGCTCTGTATGTCCAAATGCCCACTGTTGCAGGAAAATATTAAGATTTTTTGTTGGTTTTGATTCTTTAGATATTCAGATCCAATCACTACAGCATGACTATGAACAAATCCTTGTTTAGTGTAGCTGATCATCAGTATTACCCCAGGTAAGAGTATTAATGGAAATGTCCCATACACCACTCATGACCTCAGTATGAATTAGCGAAACTCAGAAGTCAGCAGCCCATACATTTGTTAGTTGTACTTCTAACTACTGTAATATTAAATTTCTTGTCTATTTTGGTGAAATGCTAAAACTGTTAGACAGTCAGGGTTGATTTGGCCAACAGGGAAGATCTGTAGTTCTTTGCATTTACTATTCGGCTGAAATCTTGCTGTTTTGTATGTGCCTGATCCAAGTTGTCTGAAAACTGCACACAAAAAAAAATCTACAAGTGACAGAAACTATACTTTTTTCATTAAAAAGAGCATTATTGACACGTAAAAAATAGTGACAAACAGCATTTAAAAGTTTGAAAAAACCCATTTTGTTAACCTAAAAAAAAATACTGTATGAGGTTACAATAGTCAAATGTCTTTCAAATTGTAATTGGAAGTGGAAGTGGAAGTTCTAATTGGAGCTATCAATGCAGAATAGTTGTCACAGTCCATCAAGACATTTACATTCATTTTATTGTTTTTTTGTTAAACAGTATATTTGACTTTCTCTGGTTGAAAAACTTTTCTAGAGTTTAAGAGGTGAAAAAATAGCTCAAGGACTTTTATTGATTTGACTCTTAATAAATGTATAAAATATCACATTTACTTGTTATGTATTTTAAAGCAGCAAATATCATCTGCACATGAGCATCAATGCTCTAAATCTTTACCTTCACACATCTAATCATTCGAGGACAAACCAAGCTTGCCAACAAGATGATGCTTCACATTCATCAAGTTCTTGTCTCTGATGCATTACTCATACATTTAACAATGTTCCCTTTTCCCCAACAAGCTGTGTAAAATGAATGAATGTACAGTGAGAGAAAAACAAAACGTAATGGCTACAAAATATTTTGTCATTCATTGCATATGGATGTAAGATAGACTGTATTTGTTTTTAGGAGTTAAAAAGTGTTATCACAGTTTCAGAAAGGTACTGAGTTCATGCTGGTTATGATCCAAATTCTTTCTGACTTACTGTTGATTTTATTAGATGTGGTTGTTGGCTGCTCTTTGGTGGTTATGACCCACTCTTATTTTGCCCACTCACTTCGCAGCCTTGTAACAATAGACACCATAAGACTTTTGACCTTTGTCTGGGAATCCAAGAAAGCGCACCGCAGCTTCTGTGGGGCTGCAGTTCTTGCGGGGCCTGGAGATGGGGTAACGGACACTTCCATCAGCCAACCAGCCAGCATCGCAGCGATCGTAACCCTCAAGCTTCCAAGCAGCGTACATGTGGCCCACCTTGGCGATCTCTGCACCATCGTCTATGCAAGCCTCCACAGCCTCGTCAAAGGTCAGCCTGTCGGGTTGGACCAGCCAATAGAATTGTCCTGACAGCATGGAAAGAAAACAGGCAATCAGCAGAGGAACTATATTTTATTTTTTTCTATATTTTCTTGATAGATGGATTCAAGCAGCTGTGAGTTAGTTCATATTTTTTCCGTATTGGTCTACCAAGCAAGGCCATACATGGCAATATGTTCCCTGGTACACCACACAAATGATTAATAACTAACTTAATGAATCAGTGAATCAAAAACTCACCCTCTAAAGAAGAAGTATAGCAGAAAACATCATAGCGGCTCTTTTTGTCACGGTGACCATAGTTTCTGACGCCAGGCCCGTTGTTGGAGCCACCGCAAGGCGCTCTGGGTTTGGTGATGGGGTATTGCACTGTGCCATCATTCAGCCAGCCAGCATTACACCAGTCCAGGCCACCCTTCCAGGCCTCAAGCAACTGATCAAAGGAGGCGACCGCAGCATTCTGGCCAATACAGGCCTGCACAGCATCGTGGAAGTTCAGGTTGTAGCGGCCCAGGTGGGGGTGGTATGGGAACACAACACCTAAGAGAGGAAGAAGAGTTTATGTCAACCGATGAGTCTATGTTTAGTTTAGTTAGTCTATGTTAGTGACTGTAGGCCTATAAGTCGGGAGTTTGCTAACTCATTAATTTTGTTCTTGTCTATCCTTCTGCATTGAAGAAAAGATCACCTCATGCAAACTAGGTTTTAGGTTCTGTGGCATTAAAGATCAAAGAAAGGTACTTTGAACTGCTTTAACTGCATGGATCCAACAAGAAGAAGAAAAATTATAATTCAAAAGTCAATTTACGTATGCATGTACACAATGCTGCAGACTTACTTGCAGAAATGCTCTGATAGTTTACTCATCATGGTTCCTTAATTCCTCATAGTTTTACTTCAGTACATGATCAACTGTATTTTATGAATACCAAAAGATTTTTAACAGATATAAAATTTTACAGCTACATCAAAGTAGTACAAGGTTAATAGTATGCAGTTCCCACTTTGTCTAAAAATGTATGTACACGTCCAGTCTCCACCCATATTGATCCTTCCCACATGTGAAACACTATCAACAAAAGATGGGTGGGAGCTGTCCTTTGGTGCAGAAGAGCTCTAACATAATGCAATGATTTAGTGTGTCACCATGCGAAGTGTCAGGATTCCAAGCATAAATATGTAAATAACCCTAACTTGCATGAAAAGCAGTTTCTCTTTGCGTGGCATATTTTAAAAGGAAGACAATTCAGTAATTAAAGAAATCGATGAGGCAGTCAGATGTATGAGGATATGGACCGGAAAAAAATGGAAAATCTGTTTCTGTTTACTTATGTTGAACTGTATTCAAATGTTATCTTGACTGAATCATTACATCGGTTTGGATAAATCAGCACAAGCAGTCTGTTCTTATTTTCCACAGGAAAAGTAGATGTTTTCAATAAAACAAAGAAAAACATTGTTCAAGAATATGATTAACACTGAACTAGGCATTTTAACAGGGAAACGACACATAACATGATGATGGTCAAAGAGCTCCTAATGTCATCACAGCTGTCATATTAACTCATCCTTTTCTGAACAGATATTTCTTTTTAAAACTGCATTTACCGTCAGTAAGGCCACCTTGCACTTCCAAGATAATCTCTTGTGTGCTGTCTTCTACCCCTTTGATGATCTCACAGCGGTATTTTCCGCTATCATCCATGGAGACCTGAGTTATTACTAAGGAGGCATCTTCACTGTCGAGTTCCTGCAAAAAGACACGGCCCTCTGAGTTTCCATAGATCTTCTTGTGCAATCCCATTGAAAGCAGCACATCCTCATTCAGAGCTTCATCATCTGCCACCTTGGTCCATTTGACTCGCATTCTACCAAATGACATGGTGTCCCTGGACTGGAGTCGGCAGGGCAGGGTGACGTTGGTACCCACGTCAGCATAAACTGTAACTGGAAAAGAGAAAAACATGATATAAGCTTACTGGGGTTTTGTGGTGATCAGGCTTATGATACTTAGCTATGTAAGCTTTATATTGTGCGCATTGATTCCAAAGATTGCTTCCACAATTCTTTGCTTTGATTTTGTGCTTGGCATGAAACTGAAGCAGCAAAAGTTCAAAAAAGGCAAATGCCCAAACACAGCTTTTCCCAATTCTTCCTTCTTTATTAATCTGTCATTTTTGCCCTTTGACTCAAAACGGCAAATCAATTACAGTACGTCTCACCATGGGTTCCCACAATCTCCTTGACCTCCATGTTTAGACCTCACAGGCTTTGCATAGTTAAGAAGACCCCAACCAGCAAGGGTTGGCCTTTGCCAAGCAATAATAAGCACCAGATGGAGTTATGTACACGACTCTTGACACCCACCACCACAGGTACAGCCTTGAACAATCAACTTTATAAGTAGAGTCAAACTCTGCAATAAGCACATGGCTTGTACGATTATATGTTAATTACATAACTGAGTAAATCAACTGGCTTTTTAGCTGTACAGCTACAAACATAACTATTAATCTTACGCAACCAAGTACTTTTTTGGCTGAATCCATGTTCAGTGCTTCAACATCATCTCTTGAGTGCCACGTCTAGTATTTCAAAAATAACAGTCAGTCCTTTTGCTGTGATCAACCCACAACCTGCTCCCCAACACACATGTACATGCAGGGAGGAGTGACACTGAGACAGCTAAACTGTCCATTCCAGACACACAGTGTACGCATGTCTCAACTTTGTTCAGTGATGCTCAGATAATTAGTATTGAGTTCTCCCGCAGAAGGATTTAATTAGCAGAAGCACTGCTGACAGACCTAATCTAACCTTAAAGCCAACCTTGTGCCACTTTGTCTTCCATTTTTTCATTTCTTTCATTAGACTGCAAACTTTTTCATATGCCAGAGACTACTTCTATTGCCCAGTTACCACACCCAGTAGCTTCACTTGCCTCTTGACTGGTCAACAAGATGACAGGTATTTTATGACCTGGGAAACACCCATTTGTGGTGCTTATAACTAATGTCTTCGAAAGCAGTGCAGTGAGTTTAAAAGCAGTCGGGATAGGGTTTCCTTTTTGCCCATTCTGTCAGTGAGGAATGACTTACAGCTTCACTGTGCCTCATAAATTCTCTGCACTCTGCACAAGTAGCAGTTGTATGAAGCGTGATTGACCTGAGAGAGCCAGAATGACTAAACTGCTCATCAAAAGCCCTGGCACAGGTGAAAAGGTGGTGACGTCAACACCAGCTCTCCAGATGTGATGCCATCCAACATTTCTGCCTGAAAAATTCCATATATCTATATCTTACATTGAAAATTAGAGTAGAAAGAATAAAGGGGTTCATTGTACTGTCTTCTGGAAACACTGTTCTGTCTGGAGATGAAAACCAACTGCTGGATGTGGTTTGTAATTCTGAAATGTGAGACGGAAGGATGGAATTGGTTAAACATCACAGCGCCAACATGATGCTGAGAAAAGAGCCTGGAATGAATTACTGTATGCTAATACCTTATAGATCAATAAATGAAAGCATAATAAAGAACTCTGCCTTTTACACATGTCATAAATTCTGAAACAAGCTTGGTAATGATGCCTGGGAGACAGCAGTAGCAGACAGAGAGACAGGCCATGCTGAAAGTAATTCCACACTCTTTCCTTGCTCTCGCAGTTACCAGCAGACACATGCCCCACAGGAGAATGTGGCCCAAACCATGTGGGCACACCACACTCATAAAGCAACAGCCTGTTATGTGTACTTAGGCTTTCAGGAAGAGAAGGGAGCCTTTCTCTTCTTTGTCACACCTCACACCACATCCTATTTATGTAAGAGTCTCTGAGGTCAAAGGTGAGGGCCAAATTGTCACATTCAACATAAAAATGGGTCGTCAAATAATTCTGACCAGTTTCTATCTGAAAGTTTTGTGGAACACAGCTGGGCATGAAAACACGGCAAAGAAGTAAATGTAAACATATGCATGACAATAAAAAAAGCACTGCAACTCTAGCCAAGACCTACTGCCATTTTATGACAGAGCACAATTCTCTCTCACTCTGTTAAAGGTTGCATTAGCAAGAGATTGGAACCATCTGCTTCTTTATAACACTGAACTGTAAACCACATTACAGCGGTCTAAGTCTACTCAGTGACCCATATTTTCTGAAACTACAAGGGTCTAATTATGCTGTTAAACCCTTAAGCATAATTTGCACTTTTAGTTATTGAATGAACAAAATATTTAATTGGCTCAAATCCCTCATCTATGAAAGGATGGAAATCATCAGAGAGCAGTCGCTGCATGTTTATATTGGGGTGTGCACAATTTGCCACACCCTCTCACAGAGCAGCTATACGAGATTCTTTACAAAATCCCACAGCTTTGTGCTCTTCTGCTGCTGGCCCGCTTGTGTCAATATGGAGAAAGAATTAACAAGCACAGCTGGGACAAACACAGCAGGCCAACTCCTACATACTAATTCCAATAAAATCTTTCCTGCTTCCCTGCTGTGTACTTCTCACATGGATACACATATGCAATCCCCAGCACGACACGCACAGTACAGTAGACTGTCATCAGACATTTGTGAATCAACATAAATGCAATAGCACCAAAACATGGCTCCATCAACATCTCATCTCCTAGCCTTAACAGATTTTCAACTCAGCCCCCAGCCTCAGCAAATTTTTGGCCAAGCTCCTTTTCCCACCCAACCCTAGCAACCGGGCCAAGCCTCAGTAACCAACAACTACAGTAAGCATTAGACTTAACAGACTATTACCTTGCAGGGAAAACCAGAGTCATTTGGCTGCTGTTCAGCATGGGGCTCCATACATTTGGCTGCGGGTCGTTAATCTTAACTTCTCTCCTGTCTTGGTGCCTGTTACCATGGCAGATTTCCAAAAGCTCCCAGTGCCAGAAAGAGTCAGTAGGTATAAGGACAGGCAACACCCCGTGAATCGATAGAGAATACACTGCTCATGTGGTTAATAAAAGCTGTGTTGTATGGAACAGTGATTGAGCTGGCCAGAGCTGAGCCATGCTTTCAACATAAGGCAGACAGTGAGGTCATGTATAAACACACATGTACTGTATAGACACATATACGCAGACACACACCTGTGACATCACTGGCCAATGGGAGCAATTTCCACGTTTTGGATAAAAAAGCATAATCTCCTCCCAGAGTCAAACTTTCTCCCCACAGACAAACCATTTCCTCCCCATCCTGAAAGAGAGAGAGCTGAGACCCCCCTTAATCTGACTACTGAGTCAGCTTGCAGGGCAGCTGAAAGCGCATTGAATTTCACTCATATAACACGAGGTCTTCTACTGTAGCTAGCAATTTTTGTTTTTTTCTGTCACCACAGCGGTAGATCTATTCTGGTATTTTATAGCTTGCGGTAGCAGCATGTGTCATCCTGTTGACAGGTGTGGATTTGAATTGTAACAGCTTCATGATGGAGTGTAGATGCTCTCTGATAAGGCATCTTTCTAGGTTCTCATTTTCTGTCTGCCACTGGAAAAAGACAGACAACACATAAAATGACAAAAGGTCAAGACTTTGCTGTAGGAATTTCTTTACCGTTTTTGAACTTCAGTAGGAATTTACATCCAAAAAAGGATCAGCACTACTAGACTAGTTTCAGCCACTGAGGCACTTCCCATTTCAAGGGTACAACCAGTAGTATTATGTATGGTGTGGTCCTCATTCAGTGGTGCCAGCAGTGAGCCACTGTGAATGACAGGGTGATTTACAGTTTTCACCAGCCAGTCCATGCTGTGCTGGTCTGTACGCAGCAAGTCAATGAGCTAGTGATGAGTCACACTGTGTCTATCTGTGTGTGTGTGTGTGTGTGTGTGTGTGTGTGTGTGTGTGTGTGTGTGTGTTACCCCAGAGACGACTCTGTTACCTACTGCTACAATGACCCTGTTGTTACACAAGCCTGAGCTGTTGTACCACTTTGCTCAGGTCCTTTCCCTACACAGCTCATCCTAATGTAATGTACCTCTTTGTCTCAATGCACACATACATACACATGCATTCACAAAAGGTGGTAACAGACACATATAAACCCCCAACAACTTTTTTTTACATAAATGTAATCTTACCTGTTAGTTGTGGGAGAGTCAACTGACTGTATGCACTGCCAGCCAGGGTCAGGGAGAGTATTGTGATGCACAGCAGACTCGTCATTTTCTCTTTTTTTTTCCACAGAAAGGGCCCTCTTCAATAAAAATATAAATATAACAATAGAAAAGAAAATAATTATTAAAATATTTTAGGAGAGCCAAATGATAGCTTGAGCAGTTTTTCTTCTCTTTTAATTTTTATTCATCTAGCTGTCCCTCTCGCTGTCTGTCTTTGTGCAGCAGCCGCCTGTGGTGCTACTGGAAAGTTTGGGCTCCTCAGAGGTCCAGACAAGTGCCTTTTATTGGAGCCCAGCCTGGTCGAGACCACTCCCCCCTTTGGCTCCCCTTTGCCACATTATTTAAGAAAAACTCCCTCCTCTCCCTTGGGAGAATGAAGGGTACAGAAAACTCCAGATAATTAACCTGTAGATAATTATTCAGAGTAATATGTATATTAGATAGAAGTGAAGCTGCAATGATTCCTGTAGAAATTATACAACTTCGGTAATATCACTGAAATTGATCAGATATGCATTTATCCTCAATAGAGGCAGTGAGTAAATTATAGTCTTAAATTATAAAAATTATTTTGCATTACATCCATTGTCCCATGACATGTAGCTGCAGTGTGTTTTCGCTCTACTAACGCTGATTCATTCAGGTTTTATGCCCCATTCCATTATTTCTGTTTTTACATAACTCTGAACTCTGTAAATGGCCTGAACACTTCCCTCTAACCATACACACACACAGACGCACACACACACTTGTGATAGAAGCAATGTATGGTCACTTTACTGCTTAGTTGGCTCATAGTTTCATGCAAGACCATTAAATGTAAAAGGGTCATAAAAATGATGTACACAGAATGTCTGCCTACACATCCTACTTTTGCCTTTCCTCCTTTTCTTGTTTTATTTATTACTCTTCTCTTCCCTGTCTTTCTTTTCCCTATAGCATATATTGAAGAAATTTTTTTCTCTGTGCCCCTTCCTATTTGAATGAGTTTAAAGTTATCAACATCTGTAACTAAGAAGCTAAGAGACCAAGTCAGCTCATACCCACACAGTTACACCCTTCCGCCGTTATTGTAAATTGTATGAGCATGTTTCTGATGCTGTAACAGAGCAGAGCAGAGCTCAAGGGAGGCAGGACATGAATTTGTGACCTGCCAGGAGGAGAGGGGGCCTGTGTGGTCTCTCCTAAACGTTTTCTCAGCCATCCGGATTGTCTTTGAAAGATGGCAATGCTGGGAGTGGAGCAACACACTGCAGATGCTGTTCTGGACCACTCCATCACTGGAGTTTTTACAGCTGGAACAACCCAAACTTTTTTCTTTCTCTCTCTCACTCTTTATCTCCTCTGCCCCTTCTTTCAATCCTTCAGACACTGCAGAGAGTTCATGGTGGGCCTCTGTTGTATATTCTAAAGTCCCAGTTTGCCCTGGGCACATCCCCTCTGCCTCAGATCCTACAATCCCCTGGCAATCTAAACAACTGTTAAGTAAGAAAGCCATAGGTCCAGTATTTGGGGTGAAATTATAAACATATATGGCCCAACTGTGAGGGCACAGAGACTCCTGACAGACTGGGAGTTCAAACCAGAGCTGAAATCAACTACTGCACCGTGGCAGCATATGTGAGATACTCTGAGCATTTCAAAGCCAATGAAGACCCCAATTGTAGCAATTTTACTGTTGACAGCAAGATTGCTGTTTAAAAGCGGGCACTTCCTTCCTTCCCAGCAAACAGGCATTTGTGAGAACCTGAAAGTCTGGCAAACATGTGTTTGAAAGAAAACTTTTGTGTTACAATATTCCCATTCAGTCCTGCTTGACAAAAGAATTCAGAGAAGAATAGGTTGCAGCAGCATTAGCAGTGCTCATGCATGGTAGTTACAGTGTGCATACAATGGAGGCATAAAACAAACCAGTATAATTCGCAAAAAGTGTTACTTGGCTTAACATGTGTTGCCAATCCATCAACAAATCGTATCTAAGCCACATTTCGAAACTGTAAATATTTGGGGAGTCAACATAATTGTATTTGAAAGGGCTTGGCAGTTCATATGAGAACCACAGCTCGGCTCTGGGTTTGGAGAAACTGCATTGCTTGTCAGTATTCTTTGCTGATGAAACATGAGTGATGAAATGTTATGTAATTTCTTTAATTACCAGCTGAAGGGAAACACATACACATGACTGATTCATAAAAGTTAATGATAGATAGATAGATAGATAGATAGATAGATAGATAGATAGATAGATAGATAGATAGATAGATAGATAGATAGATAGATAGATAGATAGGCTTTCCTTTCTTATTTTATAACCTCAGTCTATCCTTCTTTCATCTGCATGTCCTGCTCATCTACAGGAGCCAAATAAAAGATCTTGGCCATGACATGTTCTGAATCATGAAATGGAAGTTGATTTGTTTTCTGGAGGATTTCATTTCTGATGACTTGTCCAGAAGGAGACCTGGCTGCTAAACACTGACTGAATCTAATTTATAGAAAATCTGCAAAAAATAATAATGCACATTTATATTATATATACATTTAAATATATTTTAAGATTGCACCATTAGGTGGATCTCCAGTCAGCTGTCATTATAGTATTGCAGAAGAAGAAGGCTCTGAACATGATGTATACTTAGAAGAAAGGCTTTAAAACATAAATGTGATGTTATTTCTAAGACTCCACTATGTCTCTCCTGTATGAGACACCAAGGGGTTAATTTCTACTGAGTGAATTAAAGAAACCACACTTAAATACATGTATCACTGCTGCAAAACAAACAGTACCGGAGATTAGTATTGGCATCCTCATGAACACCACCAGTACCAATATATTTCCGTTATTGGCAATGTGAGCTAACAAGTTGTCATGTGAGACATACCACATTAGTAAGCATGTGAGTGTCCATTTTTGCATGTTTCTTAATACTATATAATCTTATGCATCTGTATATGTGCACATTTGGGAGTACAGAATGTACTGGCCTGAATAGATGTATATTGAATGTCTGGAGGCTGGGAGGAGTCCCAACCAAAGACTTCTTCATGTGTCTGCTGTGTCAGAGCCAAGTCTCAGGGCCATGAGCACATTCACAGCTGGCTCACTGCTGGCTGAGCTCCCAGCTCTAGGACGGATGGTATGATTCCTATTAAAATATAGCAGCTTTTTGGGTCCCCGGCCATCAGAGGCATAGAGGCACAGGACACAGGAAGTGACTGTCAGGACCTTTGCGAGTCTCTCATATAAACCTTTTCAGAAGGCTGGACAGGAAAATGTCAAAGCTGAACAAGCATGGGTTAACCTATGTTAGCCACATTCACACTGGCCACTGCCAAACATGTGTACCTTATTATCTGCACCAGCAACACACGTGATCAGACTTGGAAACATTTTTGAAGATGACGTGGTGATAATAAGCTGTTGGTAATAAAGCAGTGATGAAACAATGAAGTGAGAGACGGGGACTTTAAAAGGTCTTGGGTGGAATGAGAAAGCAAATGTGTTGAATGGGTACATACGTGAGCGGAGCAGCACTGACGCCACACAGCTGGTGTTACAGTCTCATCCCCTCCGTATCAGATCAGGGAGGAACAAACGGAGTATGTTTCATTTTGTGTTTTGTAATGGATTTTATCTGTCATCAGATCCTGATTAGAGATGGCTCCACACATGGTGGCCTTTGCTTGGCTTCTCTGCCTGTTCTGTGCACCATCTGTGTGCAATGACTGAATGGTGGCCAGGGTGGCAGTGGCAGCAGTGTAGTAGAACTGTGCTTGGATGTTGGGACATGTCATCCATCTGCTGTCTTTGACACGGAAATACACACACACACACACACACACACACACACAACAATGCTGTAGTTAAGAAACCAAATGAATCTTCACAGCCAAGTGGATCAAAAGCTCAAAAACCACTGAAATGTATCTTGGCATTTATTTTATCTAACTTGTGATTCATGTCTGATGCCTGGCTAGACGCTTTAATTGAGTATTTATACACTGAACTAATAAATTATCTTTTACTTAAACCTGCAATAATCAGGGTTTTTTTTGGCCACTTGGGGCAGCAGAAACAAGTTGTGAAGATTCATCCTGAGCAGGGTCTGAAACTTCTCAAAGTTCCCCTTCGAGGGAACTCGAACTGCGTCGGTGACGACACTATGGGAACGCCTCTGGGCGTGGCAGGGCTGAACTATGAATGAAACTACTCCAATCCTATTGGTGTTGCTAGAACGGTAGCGTGTGACGGCATAACCGGAGGAGTATATAAGCACGCCGGCACACAGGACACATTAGCCTTTTTCTAGTCAGCAGGCACTCTGGCATGTTTGAAGACCAGGAAAGCTACAGCAAATCTGAAGAAGCTCTTATCTGGAAGGAAGTCAGATGGCAGACAGAGAGATGGCTGGTGAACAATTCAGGCGATGCGTTTTTCCGTGCCCACGCTACATCACGGCTGGCGACACTCATATCCTGTGTGTTTCCTGTCTGGGGATGCCGCATGCCCCGGCAGCTCTCGAGGGGGCTGCTTGCGGCCATTGCGAGGCCCTGCCCCTGAAGGTGCTGAGGTCCCGTGTGGCTCTCTTTTCCGTAGACGGCCGGATGCGCTCTCCCCATGGCTCACGCCCAGCGGTCTCTCAGGCGGGGCGGCGGCTTCGGTCATGGGGCGCCCAGCGGTACATCTCCGAGGGCATCGGGACTGCCGAGGCTTTTTCCCATTCCTCGTCTGCTGACTCCGCCTCCTCTCTTCCCCGTTCAGGAGTCCATTCTCGGCTTCTCCTGCCCGAGGTATGAGTTTGGAGAGGATTGCACAGTCTGATTCTGAGGAGCTAGATGTGCTTAGCATCATGAAGGATGACTTCCGGGAGCCGGGGCAGGAGCCGCGGGCCGGCAGTAACTAGTAGTAACTAGTAAGTAGTATGAGCTTTTCTGCAGCCCGAGCTCCACCCCCGCACTCTTTCCTGATTTGCACAATGAGTTATGTAAATCATGGAACAGACCAAAAAAAAAAAAAAAAAGCTGCTCTGCACGGCTGACTGTGTCCCCTCTGCTGGAATACAGCAACGTGACAGAAACTGAGCAGCACGGCTAAAGAGAACGGAACGATGCCATGGGGTGAGGAAGCGCTCGCGAGCTATCTTTCTCCCACCCTCGCTTCGTTCCTTCAGATGTCGGCGCTCCCCACCAAGCTGTGTCGGACGAAACATCCGCTTTGGCGGGCAAGGCCTACATGGCAGCGGG